GCTACAAAACAATAAACTACGTATCTTGAATTACCACTCTTTCATCATTAAATTCGCACATACCCACTCTTAACTCCACACACACAACTAACAACTTCACCAAAACTGGGCACCCTCATGCATCGCATGAAGCACAAATAAACTAGTCTATATTAAAAACAAAAGTCTATTGCCCATGACATCATCAACCTAACCTCTGGGTGACTCAATCTAGAACTTAGAACCTCTCCTCGAGGAATTAATTGATCCGATAAAACAACGGATTACATGTAGACTAGGCATTCGACCCCGCGGCTGTCGCGGGGTGCCCATATTATGGTGTTATTGAGTGATGAAGAATGTAAAATAAAGTAGAAGAAATTATAAATATAGGGTTATTATTTTGTTGAATATTATAGTAGTGATTGTAGAACAAGCAAATATGAGATAGTATACATAAATGTAGAGCGATGTGAATTTGGTATTTATTGTATCTAGTGTAACAGTGTTAATTGATGATTTATTGATGAAGAAGATGTTTGTGTACGAAATAGATCATGAATATAAAAGCAAAAAGCATGCGTTTTTTTTTATATACATCCTAACTGGAGAGTGGAGCTTGCTACAAAAGTTAGTTGCAATTTTTACAGAACAAAATTCTAACGAGCTGCCTTGGTTGTTGAACAAAAAGTGCAGTTTTTAGTCTTATATCTAACTGTAATGTAAAGTGGTTAGTCTAGTTTTTGATGCTTTGTGACTCAAGAGAAATTTGGCTCAAGATTGCGCTTGACGAATGATGACATTTCTGCTAACAGTGAGGTTGAAAAGGCAGGTATTTCGGTGACATTCGTGTCTGAAACAGTTTCTTGAGCTGTATTGCTGAGCGCAGATGTTGGTCCTGTTAGCAGCGTTGGTGGCGTGGTCTGAGCGAGTTGATCAGAGAGAGTTTCACCTGCTGATTCTTCTGGGATGAATGCTGTTAAAAAGTAGAGTGGCATGTATTGTCTCTGAGGTGGCCAGTCTGATCTGATTTCGCAAAGGAATGTCTGCCTCTGTAATTCTTCATTGATGCGCTCAATGGGAATTGGATCTCGCTGTAATATATATTTATAGTGAATGTTAAAAGGCTGCGAATATGCATGTATTATATATTACCTTTTTATGAAGGTAAGTTCAATTCAGTACCTTGAGGTATCTTTCATAGATTTCTGAATCAGTGAATCCAAGCAATGTTTCTGCATGCTTGTCCTCTGCTATGATTGATAGGAAACCGGTGTCATCGGTGATATTGAACTGGACTTTTGCTCTGTTAAAGTATGAGGAAAAGAGAGTTTAAAATTTTTACTTGGCAAAAGAATTGTAATTACTGTGCAGATATATCAAATTGAATACTTACTTTGGTCTTGAAATTTTGTTTTTGGAATCACAAAAGTTACAATCAAATTCAACATCCATCAAAGCGCCAGTAGACTTGTTGCATGCAGGATAAGAAGGAGAGAAAAACGTTGGTTGAGATTCACTATTAATGGCGTTCCTTTGATCCAAAAATGTTTCATCTGTTGTCGTAGGAGTTTAAAATGATAATGCATAAGTTTCCAAAAGACAAAGGAAATATTTGAGAATGTAAAAAAGGAATACAAATATGTGTTATATGAAATCTTGATACACTGGAGGTGTAATGAGCGTGAGAGAAATAAATATAATGATGGATGAGGGATATTGTGAAGTTATAGGAACAATATGGATCAGGTATTAAAGTGGAACTTGACTAGGGAATGAGATGTACTAGTAGTGTGGAAGAAATGATCTGTGAGATTGGCTGTATCTGGGTTTGAAGTGGTGCAACTGGCAGCTGCTTGTCCTTTTCATATAATTTTTCGTTGATGACTTTGTGAATGTATGATCTGTTCTCATCGATCTTGTAATATAGGCTAAGAGTTAGAATATTGACTCATATGTATATTTTTTTATAGGTAGATCAATCTTAGTCATAGAGGGTGATGTAATTATTCATACCAGATTTTCATTGTAGTTGCCTATTGAAGTGGGGGATCAAGAACTATGGTAGTATTCAGCCTTGTAGTGATATCGATTGCTTCAATAATCCAGGTAAATGAGCATGTGAAAAGTAAAAAGTAATAATGTATTGAGTCAATGTTTATAGATGAGCATCTGGTAAGAAAAATATATGTTTGTTTGTGCTATAGAGGGTTTACCATGATATGCTGTGATCTTTGGCCTGATAATCAGTATGACTGGGTATGTATAAATCATGTTCATCAGCTGAATTTCTTCAATATAGACGAATGGCTCCCACATAGTGAAAATCATTGGTCTGTATCTGCACCAATAATATATATGATAATCTCAATGAAGGTAAATATATATACAGGAATATATGCATTTTTAATATATGATATCTGTTTAGATGAGTATAAAATTCTAAAAAAAATTAAATAGAAATCATACTCTGGGTTTACAGCAACAAATCTTCGAATTGTTCGAGGTCCTCTAGCAGTTGGTATGACTGCTTCTGGGAATCCTTGTATAATAGTGTAGAGGATATCTGCAGTGAAATATTGAGTAAGTAAAGTCTAATTTCTGCAACATAGCTAATGTGAAAATATGTAGTCTATTTATATGTAATTGTAAGTTGAGGAAGGGAAGCAGTACTAAATCTGTCAACATCACTATTTTTGTATATGTCAAGCTGCTAGAATGAAGTAATGGGGAAATGATCTTCAAATCGTATTTCTTTTGCATTGGTTGCTGCTTTAATGAAGGTGGCCTTTGTTACTGTGGGCTGATATGGCAGGGATCCAGCTTGATTTCTTGCATCTGTTATGGGGGATATACCGGCATTGCCAATATAATATGCATGATACAGTTGAAGCTTGTTGTCTGCATAGCTCACATCTCTATTGAATGCAATTGCTTGAATGGTTTCATTCTGGAAAAAAGAACAGTGAGTTACATATACGAAGTAGCTAATTAGAAGAAACAAAGATAATAGGTATGAGAAATGGTGTATAACAGTCAGATGGCAAAAGACATAAGCAAGTCTTTGGTAAAAGATACAAGCAGTTTGTAAGGGAGAGGAAATAGTATAAGTGTTTTACTTTTTCATTTGCAAACATGAAGCGCTGGAACAAAGAGCCTTAGTCTTTTGCAGGAAATATATTTGATTTTTCAATCACAATGATCTTGATCATCCAATCCTGAGATTTTTCTGTTAGATCACTAATGGGTGTGCATCTGTCATCCATATCTGTAGTATAACATAAAAAGGTTTACAGCTATTGAATAGATTAACTTATAGAAGCAGACAAGAGGTATACACATAATTATATAATGTAACCATGCAGATAATTATTACTTAGGTATCAGCAGCAGTAGCTAGGATTTCATCATAAACAATATTTCGAGTATAACTGGTTTTTGTAGAATGAACAGTAACAGGTCTTAGCAAGATCTTCACATTTGCTGAGGTTTTTGCTCTAGACAATGCAACATATAATTGTCCATGTAACAAAACAGGTTCCTTTAAGTATATTCCAACAAAATCAAGTGTTTGTCCCTATGACTTGTTGATTGTCATAGCAAAGCATAATGAAATTGGAAACTGAGTTCGTTTGAAGGGTATTGGATAAGATTCATCATTTCAACTATGCAATGGAATACGAGGAATGAAAACATGCTTGCCAGTATGAATACCAACTGAAATTTCAGCATGTATTACATTCTTATCAAAATTTAAACAAATGAGACGTGTTCCATTGCATAAACCTTGTGTAGGGTTAAGATTTCTAAGAAGGATAATTGGACACATTGGTTTCAAAATTAGTTCATGTGGGGGCAATCCAGGAGGCTGAATGGAATTTAAGAAATCTCCATGATCAGCTTGTTTTGTTGGATCAAACGTTTGATCAAAACTAATGTATTTGATTTCTTGTCCTGGAAATCTTTGAATCAAAATTTGATTGACTTCTTGAACAGTCTCATTTGTTGTACTTAAAATGGCTCTGTTAGTAACTGTAGAGCTGCTGGTTAAAAAGTCAAACAAGGATGGATACATAATATTTATTAGAAGATCTAATGAGGTTGTATCATCAATAAAAGGTATAAGCATTGAAGATGGAAGCCTGATTTTGTTATTTAGAATAGTTGGCTCTATTCCATTTCCTATTTTCAACAAGAAATCAGAAAATGAGGGATCTGACCGTGCTCTCATATTTTCAGTGAGTTGGATCTTTTCCAAATGAGGCCACAGGTAAGAATTGACAAGGGATGCAGAGATGTAATCTTCTTGTTGACCTTTTTTGACCTCTGGCAAAGTTTGTCGAAAGTCTCCACAAAAAACAATAACTTTTTCACCAAAGATGGAGTCAGAATTGAGCAAATCTTTCAATAATCTGTCAAAGGATTCAATGACATATTTTTTGGCCATTGCTGCTTCATCCCAGATTATTAGCCGTGCAAGTTGAACTAATTTACTGATGGCACTTTGTTTGGAGATATTGCAGGTGCTGTTAATTTCTTGTTGAAGAGGTATCTTAAAACGAGAATGAGCAGCCCGACCTCCAGGAAGTATTGATGCTGTAGCTCTAGATGTTGCTATTGCCAAGGCAATATCTCCATTTGATCTAACAGTTGCAAGCAAAGCCTTATATAAAAAGGACTTCCCAGTGCCTCCAGGTCCGTCAATGAAGAATGCAGTTGGAACATTGGCATTGACTTTTTTGCATTATTTTGTTAAATGCACCTCTTTGAGCATGATTGAGCATCGATGAAACTGCTAAATCTTCTTCAAAAATGGGAATTGCATATTCTGCTTCAATTTCTTTTGTGATAGCAGCGAAAGACATTGTTGAAATTAACTATGAGAAGCCAAAATCTGCTATATTCTTTCCCATTATTTGTAAATATTCATCAATAAGATGAAGAACCTTTGCTTTTGTTTGTTCCTCTGATAGGAATGACTGATTTGCTATGTCTTCTGATAGTGAGTGATAAAATTTGTCTCAAAGGTCCTTTGGATTGCTCGGTGGACAATATATCAAAATAACATCAAATAGTTTCCTGAGAGATGATGGCATCTTGTATAGCGCAGCTTCTGATAGACATTGCTCTGTTCCATTGTCAATCTGTAATAATTCTCGAATTTCTGCAGCTCTTTTGAATGAACAAGCAATGAATCCATTTACTGTTTTGAGATCAGTAAAGGATTTTAGTCTTCGAACATGCATCAACAGCATTCTAAGATAATATCTTTCGCTTTCTATTGGATGTGCTGTGGTCACACGGTCAATGACTTGTCTACGTTTTCGAGGATACCAGATTCTATTATCTTCATCCCAGACAAAATATTGGGAAAATTCCTTATATAATAAATTGAGATCTTCAGCTTGCTTATTTGTTTAATTCATAACAAAGAATTCTGTAAGCATTGTTCGCTGAAGTCTTTCATCTTCAATCACATCTTGCAATGGTCTATCTTCATGGAAGGACACTGGCTGATAATCTTATAGATGTAAATGGAGAACAATAACAGCTGGATTAATGGCACTGAAATCGAAAGCGAAGATTCTCCACATAGCTTCTAGGGCACAGATCCATCGAGCAGACTGAAAATTTTTTATTTCATCAATAATTTTGTTTGTTTGTTCCGTATTCAACTGATATATAACTCGGTCATGACCCTTGTATATATACTTATATACATATTTTACAGTTTCGATAGCAGAACAAACTTCAACGTTGATGTGGCAATCATATTTTGCTAAAAGATATGCATTATAAAGGATAACCCAACGATTGTCTAACTGATGATCTCTGATCATGACACTGTTTCCATCATCACGCCTTCTAGACAATGGATATGAGCTTTTTCCATGCTTGGTGAAGTCACAAAAATCTTTCGGATAGTTGTTTTTGCATTTGTGATTTTGTCGCATACAAGGGCTCTTTGGGTTCAGAGATCCGCATGGACCATGAAGCATATGCTTTACAACAAGAGAGAATAGATATGGTGATCTAATTCTGTCTGGCAACTCTGCAGAGACAATTTGATGATATTCTTTTGGAGAGTACATTTTCCACTTGTCTTTAAGGATGATCAAAAAGTGAGCGTGCGGTAGACATCATTTTTGAAACTCAACCACGTATGTATATGCTGCTACTTGTCCAAAAACGTGCTTTTTCAATAGGTCTTCCTTCAACTGTTCTATTTTTGCATGGAAGACGCGAGCAATCAAGTCAGGTCTATTATGAGTTTCATCATTTTCCCCCAAATGCTGTTTGATTTTGGGCCATGATTGATTGCAGGTGATAATAAGAAAAATATCAGGTTTTCCGTAGCGTTGCACCAATGCCAGTACATCCATGTACCTGCGACGCATATCTCTTAGGCCACCTATAAAGCTTGCTGGCAAAATGATGCGTCTGCCAACATTTGTGCCATTTGTTTCACCATTTGTAGTGGTGTCTAACAATCCTTGATACGCTTCTGTTCTTAATTTGTTTTGTCTGCTTCTGTAGAATTCCAATCTTGAAGTCTCCAGTTTTACATAAGTGTCAACAGAGTATTGTTGCAGAAGACGACTGATATGCAGAAGATTCGACCAATCCCCATTCCTAACTTGAAACTTGTATGCATAGTATTCTCGACATGAAACAGTTGGCCTGCATTTTTTTTTTTTGTGCTTGACAGCTGCAGTAATAATAAAAATATAAAGACTTTAAGAAGAAGATTTTCAAAAGATAAAATGATTTAACAAAGATATATGGTCGTACCTTTCTCTTCTGCATCGATAATTTGATCGATGTTAGTACATTGATGAAGAGGCAGCAAATTTTCTTCATTGCAAGTCTGATCAGGTCGCTCCAATATATCAGCTTTGGTTTTTCGAAGAATTCCTGGATGCCAACCTGTTTCGCCTTGAGCATATATAAGAGGGTACTGCAATCCATCATAACATCCATAGCATTGTTTAACTATTTTCTTATTGTCTGTTTTTGTAGAAATTTCGATGTTTCTTGAAGTCTGAGTGTCATTCAAATCACTTTCAGACCAAATGGCTGCAACTTGAGATACTGTAGGTGTGTTGTAGACACGTTGGTCGAAGCCTGGGTCAGATTTTAGAAATATCCGATATCTGTCTATATCTGAAGTTTTGCTAAGATTCGAATAAAAGCAGAATACGAATTTTCATGAAGTATTGACCTAAGCTGTTCTACAATAGACTCCCTGAATTTGCTTGAGATAGCCATTCTATTTGCTAATTCATGTTTTGTATCATAAAAATAAAACTGCAAGTTTGATGCCTTTTCATCTTCAGAAGGGACTAATGAGTTAATAAAATGGTATATCTGTCCTTGTACTCTAAAAGTATAAATGCCATCCTCTTGCTGAGTTCTTTATTGTAATGGACCCCCAAAGATGTAAAAGCAAACATGTTGTTATAACTCCTAATGCATTGTCTAAACTCTTTTGATTCGGGAGTGTTTGTTTTATAAAGCTGTACTAATTTATCAGGCATTTTGGTTGGTGCTAATCTGATTTCTCCAGAAGCATAGCAATATCGAGGTGGCTCCATGTAAAATCGTTTAGCATGGCAGTGAATACAATCTGAAATAGATGGCAATATACTTGGCTCTGATTGTATCTGTTGTATGAGTGGTATATTTATTCGACGTCGATGATTACCTAAAAGTATACAGCATGATCGATATTTGGTTATATTAAAAATGCAAGTATATATTCTAGTATAAGTACGATATAGAATATAGGAGGGAAATCGAAAATTTGATAAGATACCCGCTTGAACGCTTGAGGATGTTGCTATATCAAATCCTTCGTTGATGGTAGATGATGAGGCTGAAAATTCAAAGTTTGGAATGCAAACTGAATATTTTATGGAGAAATAAACTGATTGAGAGAGCTAGCATGTTTCTTTGATTTCATAGTGATAGTCAATGGTTGAAAGAGTGATATTACTGCTACCTAAATGAGAAGGAAGAGGAAATTGATGTACATGAACATGCGATGAAGCTGGATGAAAGAGGCTCTGTGAAACTGAATCATCATTTATAGGCGAACAAACTATATGAATAAAAGATTAGGACAATGATTACACTTGCTATAGCTGAGGAGAAAAAGAAGACAGAGCTAAGAGCATATATGAATAAGAGAAGAATAATACATGAATCAATGGCAGAGACAGCTGATGTAGATGGAATATCTGTTTTATCTGAAAGCGAAAACACAGGCAAATCCAAACAAAACAGCTGGCTGTATGTTTAGGCGGCAAATCATCATGAACAGGAACATCAAAAAGGTTGTGCTCAGTTGCTTGAGGAATAGCAACCTGTGTTTCTGCACTTTGGCTTCTTTTACGCTGAACTACTTTCTTGATATATCTTTCATGATCACGACGACTTTTTTCTAAATGATATTCATCCTCTGATGAAAATTTACGCTTGCAACCCATATGCAATTGCAGCTAAAACCAATAGAATTCTGTTATCCATAATGTGCAACAACAATAATGACAAACCATCTGGAGTTTGTTCAAGCAAGCAGAACAAGTGTGCATGAGAGAGATGATCGCTATTCAATAGGCAAAGAGATAACAAACATGGTTTGCAAGATAAAATACAACAAAGTAGAATAGACTAAGCAGTAAGCAAATGAGAAGCAATTAAGTGAAGAAAGGATTGCTTTACCTGAACAATAAACGTCGAATAGGATGGTGGAAAATTGGGGTGTATTGAATGAACTGCTATGATCATGGAAAAAGTACACACAGTGAGCATGAGCAAAATACACCAAAATGGAAAAAGTAAGGAGATTTTTTAAATTTGCTAATAGTTTATGGAGTCACCTAACGTAAGAAAATTCAGAGTTAATGCAGACTAAAAAGCTGCAACAAAGAAAAATGATTCTGTGCGAAGTAGTAAGTTTTTTGGCAAAAATCATGGGAACAAAACATATATTCTTAGGTAATTAATAGGGAGGAGAAAATGATAGAAACATAACTTCAATCACAAGGAAAGAAAATAAGTAACTGCAGATTGATTAAGAGTAAACGAGGAAAAGGTCAACCAAGAAATGCAGCAAAGAAAAACAAGCACATACTTGACTAAAGCCGAGGCGAAGCTGAGAATTTGAAACAGGGATCAGGAAAAGCCAATAGAAAATAAAGAGATAATAGAAAGGCGCAAGAGAAAAGAGAAACATCTTTAAAGCATTATAATAGTTGGTAGTCCGTAGATAAAGCAAACCAAACCAAAGAAACTGACGGTGAAATGGTTAATGTAGACGGAACGCGTAGCCTTCAACTATACAAAGAGTTTGTAGTTTGGCAGAACGAAGCACGTGCATGCATTAAATGTGACTAATGATTGCAAGTCCACTATGACAGTATGTAATCTGTGAAAGAACCGAACGAAACAAGCATATCTCTATCTTTAAGTACATGACATGAACTATAACTACAGGTGTAACTTCTAATCTGTAACCACGTAAGATAAATTTTGCGCCACGTAACCTTTAATCACCAGAGAACAACACGTAAAATTTGACAGCATGCGGTGGCATTGTAGAAGAATTGCTATGTATTTTGCTAAACAAACGCAAAAACTTTAAATTAATAATTGAGCAGTTAACAAATATTTATTAGATACACACGAAATTTAAATTTGTGTCGATATGTATACATATATATAATTTTTTGGAAATAAATATTCTTGTCGATATATATATTTTGTTAAAAATGAATTATATATATAAAAAAGCACAGAATTAATCATCACTTTGTATTGACCGTATTTATGTTATGCTACTCAATCTTAAAATGCAAAAGCTTTAAATTAATAATTGAGTAGTTAATATTAAAACGCAAAAGCTTTAAATTAATAATATTAGATACACAAAATTTGTCTTGATATGTATTTTTTTTCAAAAAATCAATATTTTTGTTCACATATATATTTTGCCAAACATGCACATATATAAAAAGGCACACAACTAATTATCACTTTGTCCTAAAGACATTTATGTTATGCTATTCAATTTTAAAACGCAAAAGCTTTAATTGAATAATTGAGTAGTTAACAAATATTATCGAAGTAACTTTTTTCAAATAGAGGGAAATTATCTAATATTTTTAAAAACAACTGGTCGTATTAATGGAACCTAATACAAAGCGGGAAAATTGATTTATATTTATTAGATATGCACATATTGGAATAAGATGACAAAATAGAATACGAGCATAACAGCAAAAGGAAACAATTAACTTGTAACTGGAGCTTGAGAGCAAGCTTTAAATTAATAATTGAGTATATATTAATATTAAAACACAAAAGCTTTAAATTAATAATATTAGACACACACCGAATTTGTGTCCACATATATATATTTTGCCGAACATGCACATAAATAAAAAGGCACACAACTAATTATCACTTTGTATTGAGCACATTTATGTTACTCAATCTTAAAACGCAAAAGCTTTAATAGCTGACAAATATTATCAATCTTAAACGCAAAAGCTCTAATTAGCTTTAATTTACTAAGGCACACAACTAATTATCACTTTGTATTGAGCACATTTATGTTATGCTGATCAATCTTAAAACGCAAAAGCTTTAATTTAATAATTGAGTAGCTAACAAATATTATCAATCTTAAACGCAAAAGCTCTAATTAGCTTTAATTTAATAATTGAGAGGGCTTGATTTAATGGAACAAAGCGGGACAATTGATTTTATAACTTGTAACGGGAGCTTCACGCCTTCACGGGCACACATTGGGAGCAGAGGACATTGATGGCTACATATTGGACCACAGGACAAAGAAGGACAGATCGAACAGCCAAATTACAAAATAACCAGCGGAATCACTGTAGCGAGACCTTCGACGCCTTATGTAGTTAGAGATAGAGATAGAGATACGTAGTTGACAATAACAGACATTTCAAATTTCATTTTATGGTAAGTAAAGAATATGTCAAAATAAATAACAAAATGAAAAACCATTATGGATAAGGGTGGCAGCGAAGGAAACAAGGGCCAGCCATGCCGATTAAGATAGCATGCCAGCTCTTAGCAACTCGATCTGTGTAACAAACAATATAAAAAATTACAATATGGTACCTAATTTGTTGCAGAATAAGAGACGTACCAATAGCTGCAATTTGAGATACAAATTGATATCTGAATCAAATTTTCATAAAATTTTTTTGAAAAGAAAATTTCATAACTTCTCTTCTTCCCATCACTAAATCAAAATGCCTGTAGAAAATACGCTCAAACAAATATTTTTATTTTTTATTTTATTACGAACTTTCTCAAAACTATAATAATATTTATTTAACTCGTTTCATGATTAGATATAGAACGATAGAATTAATGACTTTATGAAAATCAATTAATCATAAGCATGAAACATGCCTTAGCATAGCACAATTTGCAACTCGAATGATCATATATTTAAATTTTTATCACTAAAATTTATTTACCTACTTTATGCTGATTAAACTCAATTTAGCTCATTCCCTAATTTTTTTTTCTATTCTCAACATCCGTTCATCCCAAAAAATAAAGAAAAATAAAGAAAAGGAAATCATTTAGACATTTCAATTTAAGAAGAAAAGATCAGGGCCTTCATTCAAGCAATTTTGATGAGTTTAAAGCTCTTTCTACAAAATTTACCATGATTCGGTAATTATTAAAGGTAACAATCGCTCATTTTAACATCATCATAGGAATGACAATGGAGTGGGTTTGGAGTGGGAGTGGATTGCCTACTACTTCCCCTCGCCCCCGCCTCCGCCTCGTCCCCTGCCCTTGCCCCGCCCACTTTCGTAGGATTAATAAAAATTTACCATATAATTTTATTGTAGTCAAATTTTAGTAAACAATTAAGTACTAAAATATCAACATATCACCAAGTCATTATTCATTGTAATTTCACAATTGAAATCCATAAAAACAATCAAACAAAAACTATTTAAATGCAATCCAATACGATGAAACAAATACAATTAAAGTAGTCAAATTTTCACTTTTGTAATAAATACAATCACTAAGTCATTATTGTATTTTTTTGAGAAAAAAAGTGTTATTGTGTTAAGTGTAATTAGAAATTTAATAAAAATACATTAGTAAATTTAGTATAATTAATTAATAATTTCTATTAGTAGATATGTATAATTTTTAATATAATTGATAGTATCAATTATATTACAGATACTAATATATATTATATAATATTGATAACTAATAATATCATTATTATAAGTTTATAACTAATTAAAATAAATATTATATATATGCATATAAATGTATAAATAAATATATATATATATATATATATATATATATATATATATTAGCGGGTGGCTTGGCGGGGTATATTGCCCCGTCCCATTAGCTTCGGGCACCGTCTCAATTGCCATCGCTACGTCATCATTTACCATAATAATACATCAATTAACAAAATAAAATAAACATAAAAAAGATTAAGAAAAAAAAAAGTCATTACACAGTTCAAGAATAATCCTTCCTTCACCCTTCTTCCCTCTTTCTTAACTTCGTAAACGACTAAACAAAATCTTCATCAAATTCCCAAATTCTTTCCTTTAACCTCACTCCTACAACCTTTTTCAAATCCTCAAAGATTCCGAAAACTCCATTTCAACTTCACAGAAGTTGGATTGAAGAGACGGAGGAAGATAGAGAAGCTGGAGCTGGTGGTGGTACTATAGTAGGAGTTGTTAGTGATGGAGGAGGAGGAGGAGAACTGTTGCTCGACGCAGCTAATCGACGGCAACGGCGAATTTAACTTTGTTGGATTGGAGAAGTTCATGAAAGCTATGAAGTTTTCTCAGTGCGGCCTCTCCTACGCTGTTGTCGCAATTATGGGACCTCAGAGCAGTGGTAAATATCATATTTCTTGATTTTGCTCTGTTTCATTTGGTTACTAATGGTTTAATTTAGCCATTTATGAGCTTATTTGTTTGCGATATAGATTGAATTTGGCATTTTCTTTGGGTTGTTTGATGATTAAGCTAGTTTAGTTGGATATGTGAACAGGGAAGAGTACTCTGTTAAACCATCTATTCTATACAAACTTGAGGGAGATGGATGCTTTTAAGGGAAGGTACATTCATAAATTTTCCCCTCTTTTTGTGCTTTGGTTGGATTTTCTTTTTAATTAGTATAGACGCAAGAGAAAGTTGCGCTATTTCTTGCACAAGATATCATTTTGTGTTAGAATTCTGATTTTTTGTGTTTAATTTTTTTTTATAGGAGTCAAACTACAAAGGGCATTTGGATAGCAAAGGCAGTGGGTATCGAGCCCTTTACAGTAGTGATGGATTTGGAGGGCACTGATGGCCGCGAGAGGGGCGAGGTGGTAAATTTTTCGTTTTGTATCTTGTATTCTAAGCACTCATTTTTTTTGAAATCTGTATTTTTTAGTACAATGTGAATATGGCGAGTTACAATAGCTTTTAGCAGTTATTCAGAATGCTAATCTTGAGCGAGGATGGTGCGGTGTAGTAGTGTAAAAGTATCAGCACTAACTTAAATTGGCTGGATATCAGAAGTTGTCTACAGGCGTCCTTGACTCTTGCCACGACTATTGATGGTCTACCACTTAGTATTATTATTATTATGTTTTTTTTTTCCAAGTGCTACCCATTTTATTAATTGACATGCCTTTTTAAGGTTTCTTAGCGCAGTTATTTGTTTGATAAATATCCAAAGCACTCTGGCAAAATGGGTGGACCATGGTCTGGAAGCTTATTCCCTTATTAGTTAATCAGGAAAACGGATCTGCTAAGCATGTTCTTCATATATTTGAAGAGATGATCTAGGTTACTGCATGGACTGATATTATTAGCTAGAGCTAAGAATGAAGCCAAACATGTATAGCTTGAATAGGGGTGAAATATGCAAGATGTTGACAGCATTAAGGTCACATGGCATAGTAGAGATTTCTCTTAGTGTTCTTAACCGTTAGATATTAATGCATCACACATTTTCATTGAAGGTGTTGATTTTTTGATTCCAGGATGACACAACATTTGAGAAGCAGAGTGCACTATTTGCTTTGGCTGTTGCAGATGTTGTTATAATAAACATGTGAGTTTCTTGAGTTTATTAAATGGATGCCATGGATTATCTTGATACCCTATTCTTGACCTTAGAACTGACCATTAAATAAATATTTTATTTGAAAATTTAGAATGTAATATTCAAGGAAGCAAAAACCTATTCTGCCACTCAATATTCTAACCCTGCCCAGCTGCATTTTTTTCCCCGGCCTGTTATTGCTGTAAGCATGCTTTTTGATATCCTGAGCATCTAACTATTACACACACACACACACATGCACACATAAACATATACAGACATATATATACATATACATCTTTCATGACTTCGTAAATTCTTGATCATCTCTTGTCCTCTTCAAAACGGTGTTGTCTTGGAATTTTACATTTTGGTTTCTTTGCTTCACTTGGCTAATCATTTTTCATTATTGTTGTTCATGGTTCTTATACAATTTGTTAATACAAATTCTAGAATCCCAGGTAGCTACTAAGACTTAGCTTTCTGTCCACATGCAGGTGGTGCCATGACATTGGTCGAGAGCAGGCTTCCAATAAACCACTTCTAAAAATTGTATTTCAGGTATATAGTATGGTTTATGGTTTTTTGTGAATGCATCAGTGCCTTATGTTGTTGTATCTTCCTTTTTGACAGGTTATGATGCGCCTGTTTAGTCCGCGAAAAACGACACTTCTATTCGTTATACGTGATAAAACAAAGGTCTGATAGCTGTTTATGTGATCAATGCCTTCGCCATCCTAGTGTATTTTTCAAGAGAAAATTTAATGTGCCTGTATTGGGATTCTTGTAGACGCCTTTCGAATATTTGGAACCTATCCTGAGGGAGGACATTCAAAAGGTAATATTTTGTCTCAGTTATATTAGAATCTAAAAGCGACTTACTTCTTGGATGGACATTTTCACTCTGGTCTTATTGAAGGTTACTGATTATACAGATATGGGATACAGTTTCAAAGCCTCCGGCCCACATGGACACCCCTCTCAGTGAATTTTTCAATGTAAGAAAATTGTTTGCCTCATGTCCCATTTCTGAATTCGTCTAAATTACAATGCATTTTATCAATCTGATTCTCTTTTTTATTTCTTATTTCTTTTTGTATTTGTTTGAATGTGAAGGTTGAAGTCACTGCCTTATCCAGCTTTGAAGAGAGGGAAGAACAATTTAAAGAGCAGGTTGTTTGTCCTGGCTGCATACTCTCTCCTCTCTTTTGATTTTTCAATTTCTGTGGTATTATATGAGGTAAACTTTATCATGTCATTACTGTTTGTTCTGCTTCATACAGGTTGCACAACTAAGGCAGCGGTTTTTCAATTCCATATATCCAGGAGGGATTGCTGGTGACAGAAGAGCTGTTGTTCCTGCCTCTGGATTTTCTTTTAGTACACGGCAGATATGGAAAGTTATTAAAGAAAATAAGGATCTTGATCTCCCAGCCCACAAGGTTCACTCTCTCTCTCTCTCTCTCTCTCTATCTATCTTCAATAGAGTAGATAAAGATAGAGGTTCTGATAATATAAGTGATCTAATATATTTTCTCTTAGGTCATGGTTGCTACAGTACGATGTGAAGAGATTGCAAATGAGAAGTTCAGTCTATTGGCATCTGATGAGGTTTATGCATATTTCCATTGTCTCAGTAAAACAAGATTTGTTTCATTTGGTTGTGGTTAAGATCTTTATTGGAAATAGGATTGGTTGGCTTTGGAGCAAGCAGTCCATGCTGGTCCAGTTCAGGGTTTTGGGAGGAAGCTGAGCTCAATCTTGGATGCATATCTATCTGAGTAAGTTTATAACGATCTCAAGAAGAAATATTGATCATCATCTTAGAGGCATTTATGAAATAACTGGTGCTTCTGAAGCTTGAAAGCTTTTACCATTAATGCAAGTATAACTTGCTCTTTGAACATCTGATTCCCCTCTGCCAATTTTCCTTGGGGCAACAAAAGAACAAAATACAGAATAAGACTGCTCTTTCTTTGAGCAGATATCAATGTTGATTCAGTTGCTTGTTGGCAGGTCTTGTATCCAAGCATGATGTGTAAACTATTTGAAATTCTTAACTATCCATCCGGATAATTTCATACTTTGCTCTTCAAGAATCAAATCTAACAATAAATTGTTGCTGATGCTGCAATCCAATGTCATTCCATCTAGATGGTTGTTAAAGCTCTCTTTGATAACTTATGTGAAGATTTTCCTTATCCAAGAAACCTGGACAGTTAAATTCTTGCCCTTGAGAATTCTGCAAGAACCATTCACTGATCCTGCTGTGGAGATCACTGGATTTCCTATACATGTGATCATTTGTAAACAAGTTAATTTTTTAAAAAAATATCTTGATTCAGTTGGTTTGTTAGATTCAAACATGTAGACAGTTCATATAGCTCGAAGAAAATGAAGTACATTGGCAACATTTTATCATCTTCATGTAGTATTGACAAAAGCTTTATTTGGTGTGTGGCCCTAAAAATATGAATGGAGACTTCAGGTTATATATACTGGAATTGTACTGTAGTTGTGCTTTAGTTTGTTCTTGAGCTCAGGTACATTGGGAAAAGTAACATAGGACTTGAGCTTGTTTAATTGGTTATAACATGTAATAGATATGATATGGAGGCTGTCTACTTTGAAGAAGGTGTCAGAAATGCCAAGCGTCTGCTGTTGAAGTCAAAAACATTACAGGTTGGTAGTGTTCTTTTAGTATTCTTCTGCTATATTTAGTATTCCTCTTTTCATGACATCTACAAGCTCTGTGATCTTCTTCAGATTCTCAAGGAGTTCACTTTTATGAGCCATTTTGCATAGTTTCCTCAGTAATGCAATTACATAGCACAAATTTTGTGAAACCACTAGATGGATAATTCATTTTGAGGAGCTTTAAAAGGTCAATGGTAGTATTAATTCCCTTTTTCTTGTTTTACTTAGTGTAGTTTGCAAGCTAATCATGAAGAGACTATGGGTATTAGAAAATGACGGCTACAACAGAACTGTGAAAGAGATTTGGAGAATTTTATCCTGTAGAGGGTTAATGTATTTCATTTTTCCCATTTTTCTTTTCTCTAGTAAGTAGATCATAAATTAATAAATTAATTACAGATTTGCAGCTTTGCTAGAAAGCAATGAAGAGAAGATAGTATAGTTTTTAAAGTCACTGTAAACTCAGTCAATACCTAGAAACTCAAAGCCATTGATCGTGAAACTTGTACTAATGCTTTTGACATTAGATTTTGTTGGAGCGAATTATCATTGGGATTTATCTGTTCTTATGGATATTACTTTATTTATATCCAGCAAATGGTCCTTTTCATTCAGTTGTTTGATTGAACTTGTAATCTTTAAGATTCCTTCTGTTTCTGGTTTCCCCTTCTCTACTTTCTTTTTCTATTCTTGGTATGATTTCGATATCCCTAACATATTATTCTCTCCTTTGTATCATTACATGATTCGTCATCTCTTTCTGCTGTTGAAAATCAAACTGGGATAGTTTTTGAGCTTTTTCATTCTGCTATTATCTGTCATATGCTGACAATTCCTGTGTTGTGCAGTTGGTCCATCCTGCTTACATTACTTTGTTGGGGCATCTGCGTTCTAGTGCACTTACGAATTTCAAAATTCAACTTGAGCAAAAATTATCTAGAGGAGAAGGGTTTGTGGCTTCTGTTAATAGTTGTATGCAATCCTCAATGCTCGAGTTTGACAAGCATTGTTCAGGTTATTCTTTTACCTTTGGATATGTTTCATGATCAAACTTGTGGATTCTTTATAGACCGCAATACACCTCTTAAAACTTAGGTTATGTGTTAGTCTTTGTGTTGCATTTTGCCATGGCGGGATATTATAGGTGTTTCTAAAGTGTCACCTACTCTGGAAGGGTGGAGTATAAAAGGATAGTGAAATTGAAATTGAATTAAATAACTTGAAATTGGACAAATACCTGTAGACGTGGGTGTTTTGGGTATTTTTTTTCCCCTATGATGCATGTAAGGTGTGGACTAACAGAGACATCAGCTACGATAGCTGGTGCTGAAATGCACCAGTCATGGAGACAAGATGTGAGAGATTTTGAAGGCTATTTGGCAGATTTACCCTTTAAAGCTTCCTTGTGCATATGAAATGCTTTATTTTCTGTCAAGCTCACTGCTGAATTGGACAGTATTGTCACAATTTTATGCCTTAAAAAGTTGAGGCTGCAACCATTCTGGATACTTGTATAGCTCTCCCCAGTCAATCTCTGCCTCCTTAGCCCTCCTAGCTTGCCACCTCTTTCTCCTCTATCTCATCCTAGTATGTCATTCACCCCTTACTTCTTCCCATCTTCCTTCTGTCTGGCCTTTTATGTACTATTTATAGCAACCCATTCTCCCCTTTTTAAGAGTTTGTATTGTCTCCTCTGACAAATGTGGTTTCTGGTGCCCCTGTTCCTTCAGTTGGCTAGCTTATGATACTTTCTGTCACAGTTAACCACTAAAATCAATGGAAGGGCCTGAATTACATGCTTCTAAGAACTTCCTTTACTATTTGTGACAAAAAGATAGTTTAAGGGATAAAGCAGAAAAAACTTGGGAACTGTTAATGTACATAAATCAGTCAGACTGCTATGGATGAAGCACAAAGTATTGGGAAGCGACAATTGACGCATCTCCTCAGTCAAATGTTATAATACATTCTAAAAGGAGTTGCATTTTCTGAGTCTGATTTGTTTTGTTCTTTTTACTTTTCTTTGGCCAAAACCATTGGAGGTCCTAATTAGATACATTGTAATAATATTGACTGGTAAGGGTGATTAACCAGCTTTCAGGTTCAGCTTTTAGGCCTCCATTAGTTCCAAAATGGTTCTTGAGCAACAATGTGGGCTTGTTGCTGCTTTTTCTGCATGATATCTTTCAGACCTTCAAGTGTTGAGAATATCTTTCTGCCCTATCTCTCCATCTCTAGTTGGTGGTGTGGGAATGGTTTATCATACAGTTGTAATTTGCTTCATTTGAGTGCTTTGTCCTTGTTTTAGATGCTGTGATAAAGCATGCTGATTGGGATGCATCTAAAATTCGTGAGAAGCTTCAACGTGATATGCAGGCTCATGCATCTTCTGTTCGTGCTGAAAAGTTGTCACAACTGATTGCTAAATTTGAGGTAATAACTCATAATTGATCCACCAAGGTTACACTGTTTGTTACTTAGCTATTCTTTCCTTTCCTGTGGAAGACAGGTTTATCTTCATGTTGTCATACTTATTAACAGAAAAATAATAAAGCATTCATATATTTCCTTTGATAGAAACAACTTAGTGCAAGACTTGGTGAACCAGTGGAATCCCTTTTTGACACTGGTGGCAAAGACACGTGGGCTTCAATAAGAAGGCTTCTGAGACGTGAGACAGACGCAGCTGTATCAGGCTTTTCCACAGCCGCTGCTGGTTTCGAACTGGATCAGGAAGGATTTGGCAAAATGGTCCAGAATTTGAGGGACTATGCTAGAAGTGTTGTCGTTAAGGAAGCTAGAGAGCAATCTGGGAAAGCTGTTATTCATATGAAGGACAAGTAGGCTGCAGGTGTTTATTTACTTCAGCTGTTTATAATTTGTTCATGTTACTTATCCAATTCTAATCTTTTAGGTTTATAATGGTTTTCAACCATGATAATGATTCATTGCCAAGGGTATGGACTGGGAAGGAGGACATTAAAGCAATTACACATGAGGCACGCTCTGCGGTAATTTGCAAAGATATTCTGCTGGAGGAAATAATACTTAATATTTGGTGGGTTAATCAATGTTTCTAAAATGCACTTCTTTTTGGTAGGCTGTCAGCATTTTGTCAGTGTTGGCTGCTGTACGCTTGGATGAGAAACCAGATAAGATAGAGAATGTCCTGTCCTCTATGCTTATTGATGGCTCAGTTGCCATATCTTCCCGGAGTAGAGGTGCTGGAATTATTGGAGATCCTCTTGCCTCAAGCACATGGGAAGGGGTACTATGTTCTACATTATAGTTGGCTTTCTTCTAATTGTGTGGTGTAATCTTTCGGTATGTGTTTGTTACAGGTGCCCCCCGAGAACACACTAATTAGTCCAGTGCAGTGCAAGTCTATATGGAGAACATTTACTGCAGAAACAGAATATGTGGTTACACAAGCTATATCTGCACGGGTACAGCACTATTTATGTGTTTCTGTTTTGTTCATTAAGGGATTAATTGTTTTCATGGAATCTAGTTTTAAAAACGGGTTTACAATCAATGAAAAAATAACAAGAATGATCTCATCTGAAATTAATATGTGGGGGTCTGTATTTTTGAACTTAATATAGCAGCAAATTAAACAAATAAAGGGAAAAAATGGGGTATCCTACTTTATGCAGTTTAAGTTGCATAACTGGAGACAAGTGAAGCTTCTCTATCTGTTCATTGGTAAATCTTGGTATGAATGATGCCTCAAATCAGTTCTTGCATCATGAGAGCTATTTTTAACCGTTGTGAGTCAAAACATATCTCATTTCAGGAGGCATACAAGCGCAGCAATAATTGGCTACCTCCTGCTTGGGCTATCATGGCAATGGTTGTGCTTGGATTTAATGAGTTCATGTTTCTTTTGAGGTATTGATCTGATGGGTTCGAGTTAAAAACTTGTTCTTCGGTACTCCATATGCCTTCAATTGATGGAATACTCTTTTGCAAGTTCAGCATTTTCTTCAAAGAGTGAAGTATGTTATCTTGTTTTATTTTGCATGTGACAGGAATCCTCTTTACATGCTGGCCCTGTTTGTTATATATTTATTTGGGAGAGCCATATGGGAACAGATGGACATTCCTGGGGAGTTTCGAAATGGCACCGTGAGTAGCTTCTATTGTATTTCCTTCCTTTTTCTTGTTGGTACTCGGTCTCTATTTGATTTGTCTTTTACTTTACCTGTTACCTCAGCAACTTCGTGGAAAAAATTGCTAATGATAGTGGTTTAGATCCTAGTTAATGCCTTCCAGATTGAAAGACTAATAATAACGTTGTTGGGCATCAAGTTTAATGCTTTAGCTTGGATAAGGACCTTCTTTCCTGGGAAAAATGACTCTTTTCCGTTCTCTGCAAGATGCATAATGTAAATTGGATGTATTTCCAGATGGGAAAAATGTTTAAATTTCCAATATCAGTAAAGCCAGTGACTCATATTGCGTTTTGAGATTATGAGTGAAATCTGCTCACATTGGCTCTTGGGATGAAAGTGTAATATGGGTCAATTCATTTCTTAGTCCTGTCAGATCAAGTAACAGTATGCCTGGGTTAAAATGGAAGAATATATAATTTAGAGCTATGCGGTTTTTTTTATTTAACATCATAACTGGCTACTCCTGTTACCAGCCGTTGTGAACGATGGTGGCAGTCATCTATTGCATGGTTTGAATACATGTAAAGCCCATTCCTGGTATTGAGTTTTTAAATTATCAGCATATTGGTCAATTAATTTTCACTCTAGTCATTCCAGTGATAGTATGTGGGGTTAAAATGGAGGAATACATATCTAGAATTATATTTAAAGTTATATGCTCCCAGTTAATGACAACACATCTAGCTACTTCTTTTACCATCCGTTGTGAGTGATAGTGGGAATCATTTGGTGCATGTACCTGCACCTACTGGTAGCTGACTGTTGGGACCATCTGCTTTGAAATTGTTTTTCACTGTTGCACACAGTTCCAGTTTTCGTTATGGAAACTTTGATGTATGATTAAAGTTTATCAAAGTTCTGATACCCTTGTCTTGATCATATTGATGCGTTAAAAGAGTATATAATAAGAACAATGAAGGGTGAGGAATGTAGATGAGATATGTTAATTTCATTGAAAGAGATTGAAAAATTTCAAGTAGCTCTGAATGCAGAAGGTAGAATAAAGGAAGACACATAGAGCTGGCTAATTGGGGTCTGTGAGAAAGATACCTGCTTCCATTCTCCCTGTCCTACTCTGATCCTATATGAGATAAATTTATGCTGATCGAATTCTTTCGGAAAATTCAGGTTGGTTCATCAATTTTCTGGTGTCATTGCAATTTCTTTCATGTAAAGATGAGAACTGGCATGTACTTTCTTGCCCCGCAGATTGCAAAATAAACGATTGATAGTCAAACTACTATATGATTTTTTTGGTTATACACCTTGTGATTGGATGCTATCTTCTAGGTTAGGCAAGTTATCATTGGTAATGTCACCTATAGTTGATCTTTGTCAGTTACTGATCCATGCTGTCCGACGCTTTATGAATGAGAAAAGGCCCTCTGTTGTAAAGAGTGACAAAGTTCTAACAATCTTTTGGTTTCTGCAGCTGGCTGGACTAATTTCCGTCGCTTCAAGGTTCTTTCCTACAGTTATGATTCTTCTGAGGCAACTTGCTGCCAAAGCTCAAGGGCACCCAGATCATGAACCAGCCACACACACTCAAACTCTAGCTTCTCAGAGTTTCAGAAGTCAGACACCAACACGCACCACAACATCTAGCTCAACTATGGATTCATCTGTTTCTTCCAACGATTCAAGTGAAACTGGTGGTGAGTACTCGAGTCCTCAGCTAACTCGCAGAAGAGTAACAAATGTGGAACACGAGGAGTTTTCTTGATCCAAAAGTTCGTATTCTGACACATCTATGTATAATTTGTTATGTTTATAGAATAAATGCTTCCAGTTTCCTGTGTTTTTCCATTTTTGTTTTGGGGCTCAGTTCTTTGACGTTTTCACCATTTGAAATCGGGAGAAATTGTATGGTGGGTTAGAGCGATGCATGCAAATGGTGGAATACATGTACTTAGACGTTCCAACTATAAGCATCTGCGAACAACAACGAGGTAAAAAGGAAATTTGGTTCTCATTTTTGTTTGGATAAGGAAAGAGGCCCTGTTTAATAATTTAATTTATCACTTAAATTTAATGAAATTAGATGTTAACATATTCAAATCGTTTGATAGTTAAAAATTGAACATTTGAGTTAATTAAGTGACATTGAATTTTCTAGATAAAATTTATTTTCAAAATTAAGTGATAAGTAATAACTTATCACTGAATATGATGCTATTAGGTTTAATACTTAACAATTTAATAACTTAATGGATTCAGATTTTAAATTTTAGACTTCAATTTTTGGATTTCAATTTTATCAAACGAATATCAATTAATGTTTATCAGGTAAACAACATTATTATTGGGTGCAAAACTCTGAAACCCGAAACAAATAAAATGCATCCTCTCTCTTTTTCGAACTTTGTAAGTTTTCTTTGGAGAAGATTCCAAGAGTGTTTCTCTAGTCACTGCACCAACCCTACTGGTTAAAATGTATTTTCCCTTGTAGTCACTAAATTATGTGTAAGAGTTATTTTTCTTTTCTACACTAAGATAGCAAGAATTTCCAACAAGAAGAGACCACTTGCCGCTTTGCTTGTAAATTCCCTGCACTGGAAAACTGGGTGTTGGCATGGGCTCTAAATTTGATTTGCTTGTAAATTCCCTGCAATGGAAGACTTGGTCTGCATGGGCTCTAAAACCGATTTTGATCCTTTGGATAATTTATGAGAGAGAGGAGGCCTGGCAGTCTTTTTTTTAAAAGTTAAATGCCTCCCTCCTCCAGGCGCTCGATTTTAGACCAGAGGCCCCTCACAGCTAAAAGAGAAGGTTGAGGATACACTTGTAGAATATTTTCCCTTGTGGATTAGCCTTTTTGCCTCAGCAGTTGGGGGCTTAAAGCATTGGATGATTTGTTATTACAACAGGGAACAACCTGAAGATGAATGAATTTGACAGTGACGAGCTAGCCAAAACGTGGCGAAAACTCAGGAAGAGGGCTGATAGGGAGGCTGCAGATTGATGGCTGAGATATGCATGGTTTGACCTTATCCACCGTGTTTCATCATAAGGTTATTCTTCTTTCTTCCTTCCGTTCTAATAGTTGCTTATCTAGGTTTTTTTTACATGGTCATTGTCTGCATTTGCACTTGACATCCCTGGATTTTTTGGGCTTAGAAGATTCTGAGATGTGCATTGAGCTGCATATATATATAGCTACTAGCTAGAGAAGTTTTTAAGTTCAATAGCTAATGTTGTATGTCGATGGAGATCGATCTCCTAGGCATCTCTAGTTGCATTTAAGATGGATTATTAGTTAATGCTGATCATCTGTAATATTGCTAGTTCCATGCTCAATAAGAGCATCAAGGCAAATAAAATCTGAAAGGAGTTCTGGAATAGCCGTACGTCGTGCTATTTAGAACTTACACGTTCTTGCACATAATGGTTATCCTTTGCACAAGTATATACTGTGAGATTACGCCATGCAATTAGAAGAGAGCCAACTATAATGTAGAACCTAGCACCCCTTCTCATGTGCTCGAAGCAAGAGGATCTTCAATGACACCAGAACCTCTATTCCAGGAAGATATGGCAACTGTGCCATCAATAAGAATCATGTTTCAAAGCCGCGGTCACGATAGTGGCCCGGATCGTTTCACATCGGTCTCAATATATCGGTTGTGATTTTGATGAGTCACAAATTTTTGAAACATTTAATATTCTAAAAATTATAAAAAATATAATTAACAAAAATAATAAAAATTTAACAAAAATAATAAAAATTCGAATTGATTCGGGATGACTTGGGGTGACTCGACCGTTTCTATCTGTCTCGGAGACGTCTTGACTGAGTTCTCGGCAATCTATTATCTTGGAATCATCTCGTCCCGGTATCGGAACAGAAGGCTCCGTTCCAGTGACAACTCCGCCGAGTCGTCTTGGTCTCGGCCGAGTCTTTGAACCATGAATTAAGAATAGACGACAGGACACTCTTTATCTTATCTGGTTTCTCATCCATGCGTATGGCAGCCAACACTGACAAAATATTTGAGATCCTGCCAAAAAGAAGTGCATTTTAGAAACATTCACTAATCCACCAAATATTAAGCATCATCCTCCTGCAGCACAGAATATCTCTGCAAATTACTGCAGAGCGCCCTTCGTGTAATAGCTTTAACGTACTCTTTCCCAGTCCAAACCCTTGGCATGGAGTCATTATCGTGGTGGAAGACCATTACGAACCTAAAAGATTAGAATTGGATAAGAAACACGAATAAATTGTTGATAGTTGGAAGTAAGTAAACACCTGCAGCTTACTTGTCCTTCATATGAATAAACAGCTTTCCCAGCTTGCTCTCTTGCTTTCTTAACAACGACTCTTCTAGCATAGTCCTTCAAATTCTGGACCATTTTGCCAAATCCTTTTTTGTTATAAAACTAATAAAATAAGCTACTATAATATCAAGTGAAATATTGGAGAAAGAAGTAGAGAAATGGAGAGTGATATTCTTATATTCCAATAAGATACAAAAGTCATTCCAAAGGGTGTCAATGTACCTCTATATATAGGTACTACAAGATTAAAGGAACATCAATCCTATTAAACACCCACTATTACAAGAATATGAAGAAACTATGAAACGGTTCTTCCACTACATGAATAGATTTATGGATTGTAACTTCTATACATAATGTATCCATAAATCAAGAATTAATCCTCTTGGGAATACAAAGGGACATCCATACTTTTAATTGTTTCATAACACTCCCCCTTGGATGTCCATTACACAAAGAATATGCCTCGTTAAAACCTTACTAGGGAAAAATCCATCGGGACAAAAATCCTAGTGAAGGAAAAAGAGTACACTATTCTTGTGTATTAATTTCTCCCCCTGATGCAAACATCATTTGAGATCTTTTAATCGTCGCATTTCAATATGCTTCACCAATTGCACTGAGATATGGTACTTCAGGACCAAATATCTCTCCATCTTCCTCTCGCGGTCTAAAAGAATCTTTATTAGAATCTAATGATCTGACGATCATTGGAGTACTTAATATATGTGCCTTATCCATATAAAATCGCTTTAATACCTTCTGGGTATATGCAGTTTGGTGGACAAAAATTTCATTTTTTAAATGCTCAATTTGTAAATCAAGGTAGAATTTTGTTTTTCCAAAATTCTTGATCTCAAAATCTTTCTTCAAATATTCAACATTATTTGAATCTCTTCAGGAGTTCCAATCAAATTTAGATCATCAATATATATAACAATGATCACAAAATTTGATCCATTTTTCTTGGTAAAAACATATGGACATATTGGATCATTGGTATAACCTTCTTTAATCAAACATTCATTGAGGCGGTTATACCACATACGTCCAGATTGTTTTAGGTCATACAAAGACCTTTGTAATTTAATAGAATAAATATTTTTAGAATTTGATTTGCATGCTTCAGGCATGTTGAATCCTTCGGGAATTCTCATATAAATATTATTTTCAAGATTTTCATATAAATATGCAGTAACAACGTCCATTAGACGCATATCTAATTTTTCATGTACTGCAAAACTCACAAGAAATCTAAATGTGATAACATCCACTATAGGTGAATACATTTCATCATAATCAAATTCAGGCCTTTGTGAAAATCTTGGACTACAAGTCTTGCTTTATACCTCACAATTTCCTTTTTCTCATTTCTCTTTATCACAAATACCCATTTATATTCTATTGGTTTTACACCTTCAAGTGTTTGGACTACAGGTCCAAAAACTTTTCTTTTAACCAATAAATCCAATTCAGATTGGATTGTATCTTTCTACTTTGAACAATCATTTCTATACCGACATTCATCAATCGATTTAGATTCATGATTCTCATCAACTTCTATAATATCAAGTGCTACATTTCATTAGACTCCAATTAAATTTTCTATGATTTCATTCTCTTCAGGAGTTGGCTCTTCAGGAGCAACCTCTTCAAGAGGTTGAATTTTGTCATGACATTTATTTAATCTCCGGAGTTATTTGAAATCAATTTATACTTTATTTAGATAGGCCGGCCTTAAATTTATTTGTAGTACTTGTACATGTCCTTCAGGGACATCAATTTTAACCAGAGTATTTCCTGCAGGAATAGTTGATTTAATGGCTCTTCTGGAGTCGATAAATATATCTGACAATTGATTTGCAGTTTTCAGCAAATGAATAATTTCTTGAACTTCCAGTTTACGTTATTTTGTATGAGGATCGAGGAAATCTAATTTTTTTTAAATGATTTCCTTTCAGTTAATCTTTTCCTCCCCCTATTGTCGGAAATCGTAACTCATCAGAATAAATAAATCATTTAATAGATCACCCATCAAATATTTTACGATATTTAATCGTAAAAACTGATTCATACCCGACGTAAAAATTAAAATTTTTTTTTGGAGCCATATATAATATAAAGGGGGTATGTATAAACATTTGTCGGCTCTCAAATATTTTCACTTTCGTTAAATCATGTATTCATTGGGATCAGTAAACTTCTGGTTTACTGCAGGTGATAATTATAAATCAAATGAAAATGAAGACAACTATATCGATAACCATTTCTCTCTTGAATGGTTATTATGATATAATTAACATTTATCTCACTTGATTTCTAAACATGATCTCTATTATTGTCTCATTTAGTGTCTCAATTTGATATCCATTTCGACGGATATTCAAATTCAATAATTCTTTCGAGATATAGTAAAAAATAGTGCTTTATTTATGATAAATTTTTCTCCTACAAGGAGAAATATAGCAGTAGCTCTTCCGGAGCTTTCAATCACTTAAGCACCACCACTGATTGTGTTTGCCTCTTTTGTTGGAAAATAGTGTATATAGTAACACTTATTGATGAGACACATATCATTATCACCATAATTCTTATGGGACAAATATCATCACCATAATCCTTTGATCCCAAATATTTAACATCCAATTCTTCTTTAGGAAGAAAAGTCAATTACTATCATAAATTAAATCAATCATCATACACCTTTAG